TGCCTCCATTTCCTTATATCTTTACTTTTTATTCTCATTCAGATCCATGAAGCTAATAACTGAATCATTGAAAAACATCACCTTGTAAGTATTGCCTCAGCTTGTTGTCCAGCATGTTTTGCTTTATTTTAGATGTCTCTAATAATCTTATTTATCTATTTCTCCATCTCCTTTGACCTTTCTGTCACCTAGACAGTTAAGCATACCTTTCAAAACCTTCCCTCTGTCCTCCAGTCTTCGGCAGTAGTCTGGCAATATTCTTTCACTTTCCCCTGTTCCAAAAAAGTTTTCCTTAGCTTGTCCTTCTCATTACTACTCTTTCATTTTAACCTGTTCTGAATTCTCCTTGCCAATTCATGGACTATATATTCCCGTACTTGTTTCTTCTTTATTCTCTCTGTATCCCTCACAAAAGTAGATTCTAAAGAGCCAAATACGAATTTCCCCCTCAATCTCACGGGTACATTTTTATATCTGTGGACTTTACTTTCATTTCCTCTAATTTCTGCTATCTCTAACATTTTAGAAATCTCAGTTCACCAGGCCTGAATCCTCAGATGTCCAAGGAAGGTGACTGGTTATGATAAACAGCACAGAAAACCAATTTAAAAAAAAAAAAGGCAAAAAGGCAGTCTGGCTAACAATCTAAGGTTGTCCTAGGAACCCGGCCTGGACCCACTGAGATCCCAGGTCAGGTCATTCCAAGAGTGGAGGCCTGAAGCCGTGCACCTCCAGCTATATGACTGCACAAATAAATAATCAGCAGAAACATAAAGGGGAGTTGTGAGAAGATGGCAGCATATAGAGGATCACAGATCCCCTGCAAAAACTCCATTGGGACTGAGAGATGCAACCCTTTAGTCAGAAATAGAATCACCTCTAAACTCCTCCATCCAACCCAAGAATCCACAAATGGATCCCCAGAGTCCTTCAGAGATACTGGGATAGACAAACCAGAACAGGTTGAGGGTATAGCCCTGAGGGTAAAGTACAGGCAACCCCTGTATACTGCTTGTGGGAATCTTCTAGGCAGAGCCTTCCCTGAGGCTGAGCCACTGAGAGTGACTTTAGGGTACTCTGGGAGGTCTCTGGCATGCTCTGAATTAAACCAAACAGGGCCTGACCCTGGCCTGAATCCTCAGAAATCTGCAATATCCTAAAACCAGAGAAAAGGGAGGTGTAAGGAGTCATCAACGCTCACTTCACAATTGTGTTATAGGCTGGCTCTGACTATAAAAAGACTGCTATTTTTGTTGTTGGTGGTGGTGGTGGTGGTGAAGCAATCAGGGTTAAGTGACTTGCCCAAGTAAAGATTGCTATTGTTAGTAACAACACTAATAATAGCTAAAGAAGCATCCTGGAATAATGGATAGAGAGCTGGAGTCAGGAAGACCTGGGTTCAAGTCCTTCCTCTGACTCTGGACACCCACTTAAATCTCTCTGTGCTCCAGGTAATTCTCTAAGACCATAAATTGCAGACTAGGCACCAAATCCATTTTAAAGATGAAAGTGGGGCTCAGAAAGATTATATACATGTAAGCCCAGGTCTCTCCTTATTTCAAGTGAGCATTAAAAGTAGCACTTTCTACTATACCACAATTTTTAAATTGATGTTTTCTGTTTGTACATTATATTCAGTTCTGAATATATTCCAGGCCCTCCTCTACCCAGAAGGTTTTCCCTGGTATCAAATATTTAAAAAGAAAAAAAAAAACAGTTCAGCAGAACAAACCAACTCATCCATCATATCTGAGAGCAAGTGCTATGTTCAACACCCAGAGTCCCCCATCTCTGAAATGAAGGGAGGCAAGTGCACTTTCTCATCTTTATCCAAGGCCAAACTCAGACATCATAATTACACAGCTTTCAGTTATCTTTTATGGTACTTTCTTTTCACACAGTCACTATGCATCTTGTTTTCCTGGTTCTGCTTACTTCACTTTGCTTCAAATGATCTGTCTATTCACATGCTTCTCTGAGGTCTTCACATTTCTTTCTGGTGGAGAAGCAATATTCCATTACCTTCATGCACCACAGTTTTTTGTTTTTTGGAGGGTTTTTTTAGCCATTCAGCCATTCAAGTACATCATCCTTTCTTTCTTTCTTTCTTTCTTTCTTTCTTTCTTTCTTTCTTTCTT